CAGAAGGAGAAAATGAATAATGTTTTCTACTCCTCTGATATTGTCAGTGTAATTTCTCTCAGCCTGCCATTTCTGTTCTACAATCAGATTCCTTTCACCCTGCCAAGCCTTGTTCTACCCTTTGCCCTTAAAGCCATAGCTCCTATTGTTTCTCATTTGAATGCAATACCTTCTCTTTCAAATTTTCTGTAAGTGTAATATCTTGTAACAGAAGCTTTTGGTTAAGAAATCCTGTCATTTGTAATCAACTCTATTACAAAATGTATCACTAAAACCCATCAAAGGTTTAAAGAAGAAATACAAAGTAATTTCTTAAGAATAACTAAGATCTATATTATGACTTGTTAAGCGGAATCATAAGAGAGGAAAGTAGAGGAAGACAAAGTAAAGAATGTGTGGAAAAGATGGAAAGATACAGAGAAAACAAATGAGAGTGACACGATGTCAGAAAGAGAGAAGAACAGAACAAGAGACTCAGAGAGGCATGATTTTGAAACAGAACTTGGGACATGTCCCACTGGCACATCCTCAAGACACACTACAGGCTCAGATACAGAATGGGCAGCTTCTAGGAAAACAAGAACAATACAACAACGCAGAATAAAATACAAACTGCACACACATTGTGCTATGAACACCCTGAGGATAATAACAAGACATCTACACCCAAAAATATGTACCCCAAAGAGTAACATCTCCATCTTGTGGCCTTGAAGATAGTGTGATGTTGTGCATTTTCACAACTGTAGGCATAAATGCAGAAAAGACACTTGGTTACCTGTCTCAGATACAAAATAAACATGAAACGAGGTCAAAGCTCCCCATGCTCCTCCTACTAACTCCTGAGAAAGCTATGACTTGCACCATTTTGTAGAAAACAATTAAGAAGGAAAAGGTGGCAGAGATGGCTTCTAACTCCTTTCCAGTTTCCTTGCCTTCATTATTGTTTCTCAAAGTACCCTGAAGTTTAAAACTATTTCAGCAACCTAGAGTTCTATAGACTGCAAAAATCCGATTTATTAAATGAGTTACTGCTTGTAAACTTCTCAGAACACTAAGTGCTACTACGATTGTTAAATAAATAAAAGACAATGCATAGCATTTCTAGCCAAATGGGATGGCTCCTGCACCCAGATCATCCTCTGAGCCCCATGTCCTTGGCCTCTACAGGAATGCTCTCTAGTGCCCTCTTCTGATGCTTCCTGAACTTCCCACACCACTCCCATCTCCACTCCTTAAAAAACACTGACTTTCAAGCAGAATTTAAGAGCCCTACATCCCTGTCCCCGAGGTTAGTCTCATTAAAGGCACTGATGTGACTCTTGTTGCCAAGTCCAATAAATGCCTTTAACTCTCATCCTATGTGACATGTGACCTCTCAGAGGCAAGGCAGCACTGTTGGCCATTCTTTCCTTTATAAAAAGTTCTTTGCTCTGTGATGTTGATGTCCCTGCCTCTCTGGTTGTCTACTTGCTTCTCTGACCTCTTATCCATGGGGAGTCTCCCCACCCCGCCAAGTACTGATGCCCCTTGGGGCTCTGTCTCAGATGGCTTCCCACCCTGCTCTTGTCCCCTCCTGCAGTGGCATTTCCCTGTTAGGGTTTTACCTTATTCCACTTGACCCCAGGGAAAGAAGACAATTAGCTATGCTYAGTCCATCAATTTATCAGAGAAAAATCTGAGTTCATTCCAACAATATTTTTCTATCCATAGGATACCAAGTATGCTAGCTCAACAACATTTTTTTAAACAGTTTTGCATCCCATGGGGACAATGGGATCTAAAGAGGAGGTGGTTATGGCTCTATCTTGTATGCCTTTTCATGGGACTCCATTTCCTTGCCCAAGATGGATGGCTCTCTTCCCCTGGGAAGGAGATCACCCTCAAAATGTTTTCAGTTGACACAAGTAATCTTCATTTTAATGCACATTTTGTTGGGTCAGGGGAGGGCATTCCAGAGAGTGAGACTGCCTAGAATTACTCACTATTAGACAGCATCTGGGATAGAGTTAGAGGCAATTACTAACCACTAACCAGTGCTGAATTGAGGGGCAGCCAAGCATGCCATGGATCTTGCCCCAAGGACCTGCCAATCTGGTTGTGGGTACAGAATACCTACACTGGAGAGTCAGCCAGCTAGGTGGGGCATGCAATGAGACAACCCTGTGGGTGACAGGCAAAAAATGTTCTGTAAGCCCAGGGAAAGCACAGATTTAAAAAAAAAGTGGGGGCCAACAGGATGATAATAATCACCTCTTATGGGATATATACCACATATCAGCCCTCTATGCAAATTACTCTCTCAAATCTATCTCAGGAGCTGTGGTGAGGAGAACACAAAATGACTTCTATCAAGATCCTAGTGTTGTGCTTGACACAAGTGGGGTTGCAATAAATTGCAGCTATCATTCATTTAACAAATATTTGTGCATTAACTACCATGTGTCAGGTAACATGCAGTTTCTGGGAATGCAATGCTAAACAAGACACATGTGTTTTCTGCCCTTATTGAACTTACATGCTAGAGATGTATTGTCCAATATGGTAGCCACTAGTCACATATGGCGATCAAAATAAAAATTTAGTTCCTCAGTTACACTAGATGCACTTCATGTGCTCAACAGCCACAAGTGGATATGGACTGCCATTACTACAGAAAGTTCTATTGGCTGGTAGTGGAAAGGGGCAGAGAAACAATAGGCAATGGCACACCTGTGTGGTAAAGGCTGGGATAGAGGCTAACAGGTGCAAAGGGAGAACACTATTGTTATTATTACTCTTCTCATTACAAGTAAGATGTATAAATTGAGGCTCAGAGAGGAAAAGTAATTTGACCGAGTTCACATGGCTGCTAAACAGAAAAGTTGTGATATGAACCCAGGTCTTTCTTGCTCTCATGTTACCTCAGGTGGTTTTATGGAGGAAATGAGCCAGGCACAGGTAGAAGCTAGTTAAAGAGAGAAGATGGAGAAAGCAACGCTGGTGGGAAAATGACAGTTTGGGCAAAGGCACAAAGGCACAGATGGGCAAGGCTGGCAGAAGATTACAAGTAAACCAGTCTGGCCAGAGAGGCAGTGATTTGCTGCACTCATGTCCTAGGAGAGGTAAGTCAGGACCTGCCTGCCTTGATTAAAAACCACAGAGCAAGGCAACTCAGCCCTCCACGCAGACGTTGAGTCCTTGAAGGGTGGCAAGCAGGGGCACAACATGGTCAGAACCACACATTATGAAATGGGCAGCGTTCAGGACAAACTAACTAAGATAGCAAGGAGGATAGAAAGGAAGGGATGACCGAACATTGGGAAGCAAAGAACATTAGCATGGGAGCCTAGATACCAACCCCCAAGGTTCAATACTGTGTGGCCTTGGGCAATATACTTTACTATTCTGGACTTGTCTTTAAAAGGGCATGGTYAGCCTGGAAGATTTTTTGAGGGTCCTTTTAGCAACAGTAATCTAGGATCCTAAATAAAATATGAATGACACTAGGCTAGGAAGAAGGAGAAGGACTTGGGAATGTAGCATTGAATATGGAGGCAAGGAAGATGGTAGAATCAAAGACTATCCTGGGATGAAGGGGGAGTGGCATACCACTAACAAAACCAGGTAAGTGTGTGCAAGAACTTGTCTTTTGGTGGGAGGGGAGTGGGCATAAAATATGGGGGTTAGCAAGGATAAGAACTAATGAGAAAAATGGTGGATTTTTTTTTTTAAAAGTTGCACAGTGTTAGAAATCATTTTAAACTTTGTATGCCTTATGATTCACAGTAGGAAATACAATGTACACATGGCCTAGCACCCTTGTCCAATATACGTAACTGAAACAAAAGTTTTATGACACAACGATTGTCCTTACTAGGGGCAATGGCTCTAATATTTTCGACTAGCTTCCATTTCGTACTTTTAAAAAGCTGGTTGCCATCCACCGAACTTATTTTACGGTCTAGTCATGTGTCGTGATCCGCAGTTTTCAAAATACTGCCTTAGAGGACTCAAGTCCTAAGTGGGAGGCGATGGCAGGGCATCCTGCCCAGCCCTTCTGGAGGAGCACACCTGGAGAGGGCTCGGGCTGGGGAGAGTCGGGGCGGCTGTAAGTGAAGCTGGGAAAAGCCGAGGCCTGGGAACCAGGCGGTGGGAAGCTCGGGTCCAGGTGCTCGGGACAGGGACGCGGAGGCCGGGCAGGCTGGCGCGGAGCCAGGCCCCGCAGGAGTCGGGCGACCCCCCGGGCGCTCCAGAACCTGCGTCCCCGMGCGGCGGGGCCAAGGTCCCCCTCCAGGGCGGCGCGCGCCCGCTCGCTCCCCCGCTCCCCGCGGGTCCCTGGGGGCGCCGGCCGGGGCCGAGGGGGCGCGGCGCTCTGGCGGCCGGGGCTCCCCTCCCGCCGGCCCGGCCCGCCCCGGCACGCGCGCTCACACACGCGCACACACTCAAAGTTCGGGCTGCGCCCGCCGCGGACCGGCTCCGGGGCTTCGGAGGGGACCGTGCTCGCCGGCCCCGGCCCCGAGCGCCGCTCGGCTCCCGCCCGTCCGCGCCCGGCGCCCGCGCGGCCCGCCGCGGTGCTCGCCGCCGCCGCCCCCGCGCGGTGCCCTGGGCSGGCGGCCGGGCTCTGCCCTCGGGCTCGGCCTTCCCCGCCTGCATCCGTGCCATCGGCGCTCGATTGCGCGCGGACTCCCTGTGGCTCTTCCCGGCTCGCTCGCTGCTCGCTCGCGCTCGGCCGCGCCGCCCCTCCTCCGCCGCGCTCCCCGCCTCCGCCTCCTCCCGGGCAACTTTTGCCGGAGCCCCCACACACAGCCATGCTGAGCTGAGCTCCGGCCGGGCCCTGGCCGCGCTGCCCGCCCCGCTCCCGCCCTCCGCGGACCCGCTCGGGCGCCGCGGCCGCCCGGCCCTCGGCCTCGGCGTCCGCCCGCCCGCCCGCCCGCCCGCCCGGCCGAGCCCCCGCGCAGGGCCCGGGCCGCGGCGGCGGCGGCGGCGGCGGCGCGCCCGCCCGGCCCCCTCCCCCGGCGCCGGCCAAGTGAGGCGGTGATGCGGGCGCTGGCGGCCTCGGCGGCGCCGAGAGCGGAGACACAGGCTCAAGATGGCAGATTCCGACTGAGGCTGGGGGGGCCGAGCTCGCGCGCCGCTTTCCCTTCTCCGTGGCCATGAATCGCGGACACCCCGGCCCCGATGGCCCCCGTGTACGAAGGTAAGGGGCGCCGGTCCCGCCGACCCCGCTCGCCCGCCGCCGCCGGCCCGGCCCCCGCAGCTTTGTTCTGCCCGCGGCCCCTCGCCGGCAGCCCCCGGCCGCAGCCCCCTCGGCGGGGCTGGAGAGGGCTCCCGACCCTCCCCGCGCCCCCTCCCCGGCCAGAACGCGGCCGGGATCCGGCGTTCGCAGGATCTTATTTCCAGGGTGGAGAAAGAGGCTGGGGGGCGGCGGCAGGGGGTGTGTGCCCGGGTGGGCTACTGCCCTAAGAAAAGAAATGGGGTGGGGGCGCCGGGGAAGACGGACCTCTGACCGTTCTTTTCATTTATTTGTGATAAATGAAGGTGATGCGGTTTAGCTCCCCCCCTCCCAGAACGTTACCTTTAGGATTACCCCCTTTCTACTTCTCTGCCCTCGCTGCTCCCCTTTCCATTCCTCTCCGCTCCCACCCCACACTCCTTTATTCTTCGCGAGCCTCCGATTTTGGGGGGCTGTCGGATCGGATCGTTTGGGGCCAGGCGGTGAGGGGGGGGGGAAGAGATGAAAAGTCCATTTCAGACCCAGGCAGAACAATGAAATAGGGTAAAATCTCCCCGCATTAGCGTGGGGAAGGGAGAATGTAGTTTGGGCTTTCAAGTCGGGGGGCGGGGGGCGAAGACGTTTCTCTGGATCGGTCTTGAGAAATCTGTATTGTGCACCTTCTTCACCTGGCGTTGGGCGATTTTTTTTTTTTTTTTTCTGATTTGACTGTCTTCAGGAAGAAAGAAAAGAAGGTAAGACAGAGGCACTACATTTGCTTTGCACACTCTTTCGTTTCTCTTCAGTCAGTTCCTGCAGCTTCCAGCYAGAAATCAAACCCGAATCAACTAAGTTTTTACACTTCGGTGTGTTTTTGTGTGCTTGTAGTACGAGGGATTTTCAACCAAAGTGTGTCTGATTTTTCAGTCACTTCATCGTGAAAATGTTTCTCCCATGAAATCATTGAAATAGCAGCCTTTACATACTTTTAGCGAGGGTCCATCTGGCTTTCTTTCGGTTTTGTTCAGATATTCTCTGGATGAAATCGCAAAYGAGAGGGGAGAGGGTTTGCATGGAATGGAGAGGAGGGGCAAGAAGAGATTGTAATCCTATAAATCCAGGAACAGTTGTGGTGAGTAGACAGGGATCACATTAATAGTTTTATCTCTGTTAGGAGAGGCTGATTTGGGGAAGAAAAAAAAAAAAACTTATCTGAAAAGAAAATCTGTTATTAGTTCTAGGGCTCCAAATGAATTAGGTGTCTGGATGGAATAAAGTTACCAGTCAGGCCTTGGATAACGAGSCTGTAAATAACCTATCGACTGTAAATATTTTTTTTTTTTTTCAGACTCTCTTAGAAACAAAGGGGCTGTTTAGAAGGCAACAGAGAGATGTTATTCCAGGGGCTTTCCTCTTTGATTCTGAAGAACACAAGGTCCATTTAACCATTCGACAAAACAAAACCAAATTTCTGATCACTCCACCACACAGAATAAAACATGCCGGTGGATTTGTGAACGCYTATAAGAGCCCATGTCGGGCAGTCATTGTTCATCTGTGTCTAGCGGAGGGGGCTGCAGTCAAAGCTCCCACTGTCTAGAGTGTTAAAATGAAACAGTTTTCTCTTTATTAAGTACCTCTTTGAGACTCCCTCTGCTGGACACTCGGGGTGAGAATTAGAGAAGGAACTTGGCATTGAATTCAAAACTATAGTAGASGACTGCTTTCTCTGTTACAGGGGGCTGAGTACGTGGGTTGAGATGTATTTTGTCAACTTTGTACAAAGCCATCTTGGGAACTACGCTGTTCTCCTCTCCTCTTCATTCTAAAGCCATATGGAATGTAGGCCATCCCCCCCGTGGGCTAAGACTTGGAGCTTCTGTTCTTATGCATCCTTCTTTCAATGTATCACACCAGATAAAGGATTGTAGGTGTGTGAGGTGCTATGGCTTCAGAATAATCATGGATCTCTAAGGTCTCAGCTCACAGTTTTGCCAGTCTTCCTTCCCCTTCCCAGGTGACTAACCTGGTGACCCCTTTCAACCCTGGGTTTCCATCAATCTCGTATGTGTAGTCTTTTATTGTTCCTGTATTTTGTGGCATTTTTCTCTGTGCCTCTTTATAATTTTTTGAGTAGTCTTCCTCTTCACCTGCTCTTGAGCTCCAAACTGAGATCTGGTCTTTCTGAAAGAGACTATTGGTCATGCTTTAAAGCAGATCGATGACCTCCACAGTCGAGAATTATGCTGCTGGGACCTCCATTTACTCACTGTGACGGGTGCTTCCAAGACTCCAGTGACCTCCTTTTTCCCTCTTGGTGACATCTGCTGGATTCAGTGAACTTGATTTTTACCATATCCTAATCAGAACACACGGACTCCCTGTGTATGTCTTAAGTGAGTGGTGTTTTTCATGTGGAATTTTCCAAGAAGAGGGATTTCTAATGGGTTTTGAGCTCTTAAAAATTGAATATGATTCTTCTCAGGAAAAGTATAATGACACATGAGGCCTTTCAGCTGGAATTGCTTAAATGGAATGCAACTGTACCCAGTTAGAATTCTGGGTGAAGGCCGTAATGCATTAGTAAAGCGTTTGCAACTGCCAGAGATTTAGACAGGAGTACTGTTTTTGAAACAAGGTGTGTTTGATAATACAAATTAATGGGCAACAAAGTATAATCAGTTTTCCAGGACTTGCTTTAAGGATGGGTTTATAAACAGCACATTAGCTTTCAGGGGCTTGGTACTGATCAAGTTAAACTTCTTTTTAAAAAAGTTTATTTTCTTTAGAAGGTTAAACATTTGCCTTGTGATTGTATTTACTCCATTAACTTGCTTAGCAAGGCCTTTTCAATATGAGTGCAAAGGCCAACCACAAAGGTCTGTGTTGCTGTGGGTCCTGAATTAGAGGAACCTAAATTCCAAGTTCATTATGTCTGACTGTACCTGAGATGGGATGTGTTGATTAGTGGGGGCTTATATCAAGGAACACTTTGCAGAGTTCCAGAAACTGTCCTGCTGAAACTCATCATCAGATGGACCTAAAAGCACCTGTCTACTAAGATGCCTACCAAGAAGGGAGATTCTGAATCATCTTCCCTTAAAAAAAATTTKATGACACAGGTTCTAAAATATCTCTTCCTGTGTTTATGTTTTATATTTTTAAAATGAGTAAGTATAAATATTGTTTTTCTACTCATCACATTTGAGTAGTGAATCTAAGCTCAGTAATTTTATCCTTGATTCTGGACACTGTGGTATGAGACTAGAAACAGAAAAATCTAGAGTCTGAATCGAGCCATATGACTTTGGGCCTGTTTCTTAACTTCTTGGAGCTTTTTTTTTTTTAAAGCCTTATTGGATTGTGCGAAGACTCCATTAGAAACTAGTGTTTAGTGAAGTCCCTGGCTGTAGTAGGCATTTTCTCAGTATGTATTAAATCCCTCTATCTTCTGAGCTGCTTATGGCGTGACCACTCCAGGGAAAGAATAACCCACAAATAGTTTAGAAAACCAATAATAGCAACATTTCAATTATTAATCTCCTGCTATTCCTTTTGCAGTTTGGGCACCAGCAACAATAAACCCCCTAGAGCCACAGAAGAAAGAACCTTTTTTTTACCCCTCTGTGACCTTTCCAGAGCCTTTATTCCCATTGAGCTTCTGCTGGTTTCAGGTGGAGAATTTCTCTTCTATAGTGGCACTTTCTGTGCTACTTTAAAAATGTACAAATACTAGGACAGAGTTTCAGGGGCTATAACTGTGCCTCTGGCAAAGTATCCCCAAGTGTGAAAGGTGACCTTTGCCCTTAGCCAGGATACATTTCTGAACAAGGCAGCAGGCTGGGCAAGGAGGTCCAGAGGTGGCTCCTAGGGACCTCTTTCGAGGGGAGGGTCCTACCCAGCCATGGTCCAGGTTCTGCTCCACCATGCATTAGACATCACTTTTGTACCAAAGAAAACTTGGTGCTTTATGTAAGTTACAGCTGCTCATATTCTTCATATTTTATGTTTTATATTCCTTCGTTTCTCTTCCTTCCTCCCATAGAGACCAATCTTGGGGAGCCACCTTTGAGGTTTGCATGGAACAAAGTAGTGATGATCAAGAGGGTAGGATATGTGAGCATTTTTTTTATTGTTCTCTGAACATGTAATTTTCCAGTGCTCTCTGGTAGTCTTGTGATGACGATTTGAGCACTTGGGGTTGCCATCAAAGACGGGATTCAGAATCATACCAGCAGACTTTATGTAACCCCGATAGAGTGTGAACTTGAAAGGCCCAAACTTGTCATAGTTCCATTTCATATGGGGGAGGGATTCATAAAATTGAAAACCTGGATTATAAGATCTTTATTTTTCCTCTAAAAGAACCTGACATACTTGGAGTTGGTGATGTTAATTATGACTTAGGCTGTGCTTTGTGCTGGGCGCTTTCTGTACCCTCTACCCACACGAACTCCCTGTTCTTCTGCTCTGCAGACCAGGACACATCCTTAATGCATTCACTCAGCAAGCATTTACTCAGGGTCTGCTACGTACTGGACCCCTGACAGGTTCTTAGTCTGGAGAAATGACAAAGACTTGGMCCCAAACCTCGAGGATTATAGGAGAATAGGAAGTAAAGCCAAATAGTTAAACTTGGACCACTGTGGGGGGTCTGGGGGTCTGGCCCCATATGCAGTCTTTTTTCTTTCTTTTTCTAGTGGTAGTTCTTACATGCTTATGTTTTCTTTTTTTTTTTCCATGCTTATGTTTTCTTAAGGTATAAAGGGAATAYCCTATTTCCCTATTTTTCTCTTGAAATATTTTCTTTGTGTGGACTAAAAAATAAATAAATAAATAACGTATATAGGAGTGTCACATATACTCACAGATTTTCTTAGAAATGTCTTAGATGTTGCCAGCTCTCATTTGCAGTCTTCCTCTTTCATTACTTGAATTGTGTATCTTTGTCAATGCAAACACATTTCTCATGCACATACCACTGGGACATTTTGTTGTTGTTGTTGTTTTGCATTTAGAGTCACAGGCTCTGTTGTGAGTGGGCTCTGGCACCCACACGTGGCTGTTGGAAGATTGATGCCTGCTTTGCTGTCCTGCTGAGCTCTTGTATTCCAGGTTGCTCTGCGGTGGTACTTGGTGGATCATCCATCAGGTGGTCATGCAGCAACATTCAGTGCCACTTCCCAGAAGCAGATCACCCTGGGAGTTATGAAAAAAGAAAAGCCTGGCTCTGTCCTCAGGAATATAGAGCCCAGAGCAGGAGCAGACCTCCAGAGAGATGTCATTCACGCTCTGCCTTCAGGAAGGTGAATGTCTGTGACTTGAAATCTTCAGTTCATTAAAACTTTTTTTTTTTTTTTTTTTTTCCAAGAAAGGGCACCAGGAACTCCCTCAGTGACCAATACCAGTATTCTATTAACCTGATTGTCAAGACATTCCTGGGCCAGGCAGAAATGGCTCCTGCTGTCATTCAAACTTGTTTTCTTTTCTCCGTTCTTTTCTTCAAAACCTTTCATGTACTTGAGGATAAGAACTGGGTCTCTTTAGCTTTTTCCTCACAGAGCCTGTTTTATGTTCCTGAGAGCATCTACTTTCTTTCTGAACTCTAGCTTCTCCTCATTAAAAAAAAAAAAAATGGTGATCAAATCTGAATGTAGTTCCTTCATAATGTTCTTATTAGTACAGCATATGCAAGGAAAATGACTGCAGGGTTCTTGCATCTTTGGGAACCCCTGGAGGGCAAGAACCATGTCTGATTCATCTTTGTATCCCCCACAATAGCTGTATAGTTTCTTAAACCTAGTAGGCACTTCGTAAATATTTGTTGAATTGACTGTGCATTTTAATATCTCTAAGTAATGACTTACTTCAGGACAACCCTGGGTGGTGGCTCCTATCAAGCCTGCGCTCACCTCTTTCTCTCATGCTTGTGTCTGACGTCCTCACCCTCACCTCAACAAGGCCACCACTTCTGCTTGACTCTGGAGCACTTTGAATTTCTCCTCTCTGCTTTCAACTCTAGAATCTTTCTTAATTATTTCCTGTGGATCTGACCAACAGAATGCAGAGGACATAAAGTATAAAAAACTTGCACTGCACTTGAATGAAGAAAAGAGAGCACACAGACGAATCTTGATGATTCAGTGTAATGTCAGTTCACCCAGGTTTGGGAAGGACGGTTTGTCAAATTCTTTATGGATTCTGAGTCAGCAAGAGCCATACCTGTTTTACCAGGTCCTCTAAGTTGGCCAGCTTGATGTTCATGAGAGTGGTTGCCAGGCAGACTTTCAGAGGGGATTCCTTCCTCTCTTTGGTGTAAAGCCAATGGGAAAAGCAAAAGAAATAATGGGCAATCTCATTGCAACTGGGTATTTTCTGATGGGGGACTTTGCCATTAGAAAGCCAGCTAGGAAAAAAGTTGCAAAGAAAAAAAATTCCAAAAAACAAGCGCGCGTGCACACACACACACACACACACACACACACACACACACGCTCTTTAAAGCTACAAAACAATTTTGTGGTTTTATAGCCACTTATTTCTGAACATGGCATTGAACTGATTTGTAGTGATTTTGTTCTGTTTTTAACAATTCTTGCCTAACCACGTTTGCCCTAGTAGGTTCTGATTAATTAAATGCCACCATGTAAGCAGAATTAAGATTGATTGACTCTTCTGCATGTGCTAATGCTGCAGACTTTATAAAACCTTTGTCACAAAAGAATGCAGTCTAATATATGAGCGGACAAGGGCATTCCCCCCCAGGTGGTTCTGTCCATCTGCAGTGAAATATCACTGTGGAAYTTTCTATAACATTAGATGGAAAAGCATTTTTGGTTCACACAGTTACAGATTGCATCCTGATGAAAAAACGTTTGAGGCTATTTACCATTTTCCTCCATACCAATGTTTCCTTGTTGATTCAACCTATGAATTGTTAGTTAAATATGAAGTGACTTTTCCAATTATTATAATAAAAGCAATCCATCATGCTAGTTCTATATACAACTTGTAGCTTCAGAGCATTCAAGAAGCACATTTTAATGGTATTTGTGCCTACAGTTCTGTTAGAAGTCACATAAGCCAGACGTGGTGGTACACACTTATAATTCCAGTGGCTCAGTAAGCTGAGGCAGGATGATCATGAGTTCAAAGCCAGCCTCAATAACTTAGCGAGGCTTCAATTCAATTAGTGAAACTCTACCTCAAAAATAAAAAAATAAAATAAAATAAAAACGGCTGGGTATGTGGCTCAGTGGTTAAGTGCCCCTGGGTTCAATCCTTGGTACCCTACTCCCCCAGAAAAATCATATGTTAAGATTTGGAGAATATTGGCTTATTGTTGGTTGTGAAAATGGGGGGGGTAGGGGTTCTTATTTTTTTTCTTCTAATAAAGAATTTATAGGGCTCTGACAAAAACCAGAATGTAAATTCTTGAAACTGTATAGAAAGGGGCAGTTCTAGCTCCCAAATTCTGTGTAACTGCATCCACCCCTCCAAATGCATGCTGCTAGCAGGAACTTCAGGTAGAAAGTGAATTTCAGGGGTGCTTTTGCCAAGGAGAAGTAGAGAGAAAGTGTGCAAGAGAATGCCCATGTGCCATCAGCGCCAGCCCCTGAGCCTCTTCCATCTGTGGCCCAGCACAGTGTGATCACTGTTATTCATTAAGTATGACCTGCACCATCAGGAAAAGATTAATCGATGTTCATTATGTTCTGCTAACTGAAACTGGGAGGTTCTATAATGTATTACAGAAATGAAAATGGTTAAAATAGAGAAACTCTCTCCTTTGATTTTACCCGGGACTTACTCCAAAGGGATTTAAGGCTGCTTCAAGGGTTAAGTTCCTGGTAGAGGGGAAAGTTAATTTATGCAGATCAATTTTGTGGATCAGCTTATTTCCAAGGAAGTCGGATAAATGAGGTATTTCTTTCTATAAAGAGACAACAGAAACAGTCCAAGCTCTTGTGCTGGCTTAACAAGGTGAATAAGCAGAGCGCATAATGGAATTCATTTGCAAAGTAATTTTTGCTTGGCTTGAGTGGTAAGCACAAAATAGACCAGCAGATGAGAATGGTAAGTGTTTGGGATCAGTTGTTGAAAGGTTTAAAAGGGGTTCTAATTCAAGAGACATTTTATGGTGTGGAGAAGGGGACCGATATAATCAAAATGATACTTGAACAAGGTAATTTTTACCAGGCTGGATATAATCGGAGGAAGGAGGCAGCTGGAGGTGAGCCCTGTGGGGAGGCTGGGTAGTGTAGTGGGAGGTGTGAGCCCCGTGGAGATGGGGCCGCTCTCAGGGTCGCCCAGGTGGACGTGCAGTTAGCTCTGGTCAGCATGCCTGGCCCAAGGGTTCAATAATTATTCGTTCCTTTTTGCTTTCGTCCCTGAACCTTGTGGCGGAGACCTAGGGTGGGGAAGGCTTGCTGCAGCTGGTGATACCATGGTATCGTTCTGTTCTCCTAAGAGTCTCTTCTTTCTGTAGGCTCCTCACATTGCCCAGGATCTTCTTGAGTCAGAGTATATACCTGGCAAGGTCTTCATGAAGTAGTGTTCAGCTTTTGACACAGGAGGACACTGAGGTCCAGAGCAGTGAAGAGCCTCTCTGATCCTGGACAGGGAGTCTGCGCGTGGGGGACACAGATCCGGGCTCGTCCACCCCCTGCCCTGGGCAGTGTGACGAAAGCCCCAGAACACCCCAGAATGCTCCACATCTCCAAGTGGAGCTCCGACGCCATGGTTCCTAGGAGGCTATCAGAGCCACTTCCCTCTGTCCCCAGACTGTGAGAGAGTTAGTTACTGAGTTTCGGTCCTCTGGGACCACTTGCAGTCGGCAGTGCTGCCTGGAGCCTATTCTGGAGGGAATCTTTCCTTCTTTCCCAAGGAGAGAAAAGCCACAGTGCCCTCAGCTCCTGTGTTTACAGTCTTCTGTTAGGAAGTTGTTCCTTGTTTCCCTGAGAAGTTCGCAGCTTGTCACCATGAGCTACTTATTAACAACAACAACAGAGACTCACAGGAGAGGAACCAGTACAGTCRTGATGAGTTTCACAGAACCTCAGAGCACTTTTAAGTCATTAAGCAGCTTTTTTGAAAATATTTATTTTTTAGTTGTAGGTGAACACAATATCTTTATTTCATTTTTATGTAGTGCTGAGGTTTGAACCCAGTGCGTCACGTGTGCTAGGCGAGCGCTCTACCCCTGAGCCCCAGCCCCAGCCCTTTTTTAAAGAATACTGATTCCCAAGGTCTGATTTAGAGTTTTTTTTTTTTTTAAAGAAAGAGTGAGAGAGAGAGAGAGAGTGAGAGAGAGAGAGAGAGAATTTTTTAATATTTATTTATTTTTTTTAGTTCTCGGCAGAACATAACATGTATGTGGTGCTGARGATCGAACCTGGGCCACATGCATGCCAGGCGAGCGCGCTACCGCTTGAGCCACATCCCCAGCCCCTGATTTAGAGTCTTTCTTTCCCTTCACTGTGACTACAGCTTGAGACCTGCCATTGCTTTCAGCCATGTCATTCTGATCCCATGTGGGATCCTTGGTGTGCATTCTTGCCTGGTGCTGCTCCAGACCTGCCTTAGAAGCATGGCAGTTCTTCCAAGCAGCCTTTGAAAGTATCTGAACACAGATTTTTACACTCATAAGAGCTTGACATTTGTGGGTCCTGGGACCAGAGCACAGCACCGGGCCCAGCCTGCCACTGACCCTTCCTGGTTTGTGTGTCCAAGCGTTACCCCCTCCCCCTCCTCTTGGACCTAGGGGTGACTCTGGGATGCCTGTCAGGCCTATGTGTATGCCCACAGGCCCTGGGAAGGGACCTGGATGCTGGCGTGGCCCTTGTGGAAGGGAATCCCCACAGCCCCAGGGTCTGGAAGAGAGCGGCTGCTCACCTGTAAGTGGTTACACACCTTGACTCTGAGGACTCCTGAGCCCTGGGGAGGGTATGGCAGGGACCCTGTGTTCTGCCTAAGGGCAGTGCTGATAAGGGGACACCTTGCTTCAAACACTTGGGCAACAGACACTCGAAATGTTTCCTGTTTGTCTAAGGATGGCTGGCTGTTGCTTCACTCAGCTGGGCTCCCTTCCTTCCCTCCTCACCCTGGGTTTTCTACACAGTGCTGCTTGCTTTGTGAAGCTTAAGTAATGARATGGGCCACTTTCCTGTTGCAGCTAAGGGAACATGTTCACAGTGAACCTGGTCAGTCTGGCCGCTGTTGTGTGAGCTCTGGCCCTTGGCATACATGGCTCCCTCCATCCTTGATGGCGTCTCTTCTCTGCTTCTACCTGTTTATGATCTGCCCACCAAGCCAGACCTTTCCCTTGCTCCTTATTCTTTTGAGTGGGGGCACCTTCAGGGCCATATGTGCCTTGTCATGCTGGTAGGACTGGGGCTTTCAGTGGATGTAGGCATGTTGAGAAATGGTTCTCCCGCCTCACAACCACCCAGGATGGCTTCTTAAGACACGGGGACCCACCCCCAGAGTTTCTGACTCGTGAGGTCTGTAGTAGGGCCCAATAGTTTGCATTTCCGGTTGAGAATCGTTATTTTGGAGGAATGAAAATTTAGTAAATACTTAAAATCAGATGATGGTTGCTTTGATGAAAGCTTTTCCTGGGCATGAGTGCGATGCCGGCGTGGCGTATCTGCAGCTCTGCAGCCTTTTGTAGCCGGGCTTCCCAAAGTTTGCAGATCCAGCCCAGCCTCCTCCTCCTCTGCTTTCCCAACTTCTCCCGGGCAGGACAGGTCAGTAAGTACAGGAGCTACTTTCTCTTGGTCGTCTAGAGCCAGCCAGTCTGTAGGCCTTGCTGTTTGGCCCTGGGGCCCCAGAACAGAATGGGAGTTATTCTCACAGTAGCATATTATTATTAACCAGCGTTTAACAGCTCTGTGATTTTCTCTGTTTACAGAAGAGAAAATTGAGGCTTAGGGATATTAAATAACGTATCCAAGGTCTCCTAACCAGTAATTGGTAGAGCCAGGGCTTGAATTCGAGTCCACCTGACGCCAGAGCCCGCTCTTGTCTTGACAGGCAGGCTGCCCTGCTTCTCCCGGGCGAGCCAGAGTGGTCTGAATGACATACAAGGGGCCCAGCATGAAGGGGCTGGGATCCTTCCTAGAGAAGAGGTGACTAAGCTGGAGACCGCCAGTGCTAGAGTGTTTGTGTCCCCATAGGAATGTCCCAATGCCCTGGCCCTGCTCGGATGAGGTGGATGAGGTAGTAAGGGCAGAGCATGCAGTGTAGTGGCTGTCGCGTGGGAGGGAGGTGGGGTGGAGGAGCACGCCCAGAGCCCTCTTTGAGCAGCAAAACAGATTCCAAATCTGAGAATAATATCACTGAGACCTCTAGGGGAAAATACTCTGAAAAGATGATCCTAACAGCAAATCGAATCCAGCACTTTCAGTTGCCAGTTCTACAACGTGGCATGTTTGAGTTCCCTGCATCCCTGCAGCAGTGCCACAAGGTAGACTCCACTGTCATGAGGTCTGTGGATGCAGAAGAGGCTCAGGCAGCTCACACATGCAGAGCTGGGTTCCCCCCACAGTAGGCGATTTGGATCCTGCAGTTACCCTTCACCCACCCCCCCCTCGACGGCTACCTTTTAGACAGTCTTTCCAGTTCCTCCCAGCTCAGGAAGTGGGGTTTGTAAACATGTTGGCTTCTCTCCAAATATAAATGGCTTTTGTTTCCATCAAAATCTGGAAATGTGTTTTAAAATTTGAGACACTGATTTCTGTTGCTTTTCTTGGAAGAGGTGTTGGGCATAGAATAGCAAAGGGGCTAGGTGCACCCAGTGTTAAGCCATACCACTTCAAATTTAGCACAGAATTTGACAGATCCATCCACAGGGCAGAACAGGTGAGCCCAAGGTAAGGCTCTGTTGTCTGAGAGCCTTTAACAGATGATGGAGGAGGAGCCATGGAGCAGTGGGGATAAGAAGGCCGGTAAGACAGATGAAATGGGACAAGATGTTAGCATCTTGAAAAATGTCCACAGGTATCATCATCTCACATCGTTACACCACCATAAATCCTGCGTGATTAAAATGTGAGATGAAACAGAAATCTACTGAGCACGACCAGTGTGCTGGGCCTGTTGTAGGTGCTGTATGTACAGCGATGAACTGAAAGGATAAAACTCTGCCCCAAAGCAGCTTGCATTGTAGTAGATAAAGGTGAATGATCCACTTTTTAAAAAAAGCTGGAAGGAAATAGAAGTGGATTTTTATTAAAACCTCTGGAGGAGTTGAAATTTCCTAAGATCAGAATCTAAAGGTGAAATCACAGAGAAAAATATCATTAGTTTTGTCAGTGTAAGCATACCCAATGTTAAGGTTATTTCTGGTTTTACCATCTTGAATTATTCCTCAGGTTCTCCTATGTAACATTAAGTTTTGACTGAATTTTAAGATAGGTTCTCCAAAATAGATTTCCTAGGTCAAGAGATTCATTAGGTTTTAGATACATGCTGTGAGATCCATTTCTTCCTCAAAGTACTTTTATATTAAATGAGTCAAACCACCTTGAGAAAGACTTAACTTAACCACAGAGTTTCTTGCTGCTCTTAAGCCTGGGCCCTGCCCTCGTTCCTGGGGTGGCATGTCGGTTACAGGCTTTAAGTGCCACCTTTGTGTGTCACTGACTCCCTACATTCTGTCCTTACCTAGGCTTCTTTTTTGAGCTCCAGAGTCACAAGGCCAACCATCTACTTGACATCTCTTTAGATGTCTCATAGGCATCTCAACCTTTTCATATCCAAAAAACAAAAAAAAGAAAAAAATGCCCTGAGGTATACTCTGGCTCCAGAAGTCTTTAGTTCCACAAACAGCAGCTTCTTCTGCAGCAAAAACCTGGGGTTGTCCTTGACTTTGTTTTACTACACATTTAATCTATCACCTAATTTTTTTGATTTTTGCCTCCTAAGCACAGTCATTCTCATTATTTGCCATGGTTGTGCTCTGTAAAGTCACGGGGACACTGCATCAGTGAATACTGAACCTTCGAGGGGCCGCGCTGGGTCAAGTGTCTGGAAGCCTCTGGTCATATTTTCATCACSCGATCAACACATGGTGTCACTAACATTGGAGTCGTGATGTCATATGTTGGTGGGCATAACATCACGTATGCTGGTGTGATGATGATGTTTACATGTGTTTCTGTTGGAAGACAACCCTATTTTAATAAATGTTGTTGCCTCATTAACATTGAGCTCATGGCCGCAGCCCTGTAACTCATGCCTGAATGAGCTTATCTAACACATGTATTTTCTCATAAGGCCTGCTGTCACGAGTGAGCTATGCTGTTAACATAGACCAAACACGTTGATGTCTTTCCACAGTGTTAGAATTTATTGAATAACAATAAATCTGCCAGCTATATCACTTTTATGAGTTGCAGTTTACCAAGACTTGTGAGTCCCTTGTATGTGCCAGGCAAATCTGAGGTTCTTATATTCTAATTTGAATTACTAATATCTGTAACACTGAAGTCCCATATCACACCTTACACACATCTCTCTGGGTGTGTTTGTGTGACATAAAGGTTAGGAAAGGGTTAAGGTGGCCAGGGGGGTTCAGGAGACTATACCCAGAGCAAGGCAGAGAGCAGATACAAATGCAAGAGTCATTGCAAGTGGTCAGATAAGATTAAGAACCAGCCAGAGAATATGTTCAGAGTGCGCCTCTGTCGGAGCACAGAACTTGCTGAAGGCCAGGGTCTGCATGGTGTGCACTTTTGAAGTGAGCCAGGTCAAGCAGGGAAATCCAGCTGAGCTGAAGCCTGGGGACCTCGTGACATTTACCGGATGGTCTGATGACAGGTGAGTGTGTGCTGCCCCAGCAGTCTCAGTGTTCCTCCTGTAATGGGTGAGAAGGTGGCTTCATTCTGTGATCTGGTATGTTTGATAAGCTCATGGACCTGATTTTTCTGATAAAGGATCGATAACCCCATGCCTCCATGTGCTTCTGATTTAATTCAGTAGATTCACAGGTGGTCATTTTTATTAGCATAATTAATTTGTTATCAGTTTGTGTCTTATGATTATACCATGTGGATGGTGGATGTTTACTTATAGTAACAAAGGGTGGCACTGATATAGAAAATGAAGTAACTCAGGGCAAACTACTGCTTTACAAGATGGAGTCACTCAGGGCTAGGCACAGCCTGGAAGCTGCTGTTCTGTTCATCACAGAGTCACTCAGAACAGGGCTCTCCACACACACCACAGCCTTCTGTGTTTAGCTTTAAGCACTTCAGTACTGTGCTTGGGGCCATCTGAAATGGCAAGATCACCAGACCCCCCCCCCCAAAAAAAAAAATAACCAAACACAGAAACACCTGGCTCAGTGGCACATACCTGTAGTCCTAGCTACTCAGGAGGCTGAGGCAGGAGCATCGCAAGTTCAAGGATAGATAGCCTCAGCAACTTTGAAAGACCATGTTTCAAAAT